CCAATATTTTTTAATAAATATTTAATCAATAATGTCCACATTTGTAAATATTAATAATTAATTTGTAATATTAGTTAAGTATTAATAATTTTAATATAAATTAATTACAAAGTTAATTTGTAAAAATTAACTAAATTAATTTGGAAACGAATTTAAAATAAGTTTAAAATGTACAGTTTAGAAATTTATATAATTTAAAATGATAATTTTTTCAAATATTTGTTCCTCTGTTTTTAAAAAAATACTATTTTTCACATTTTAAATTCGCCTAACATTTTTACAAATGCTTTCTCGATGCTTTTCACTCACTGTTAAATTAGAAGTTTTGCAGAGTTGAGAAAGTGTGCTGACTTTTTATAATGGATTTCCATTTAGCTAATGCTTTTATTACAAGGAAATTAGCATTTGGATTCTTAGTCAAATTGAAACCAATTTTTCCTTTTAAAATTGCAACAAGGAATGCTGTGGTGGAAGCTATATATTGCTGAATACAAAGAGTCAAAAACAATTCTACTGTTTGATCTCTGTGTTCATGACATTCAAATATCTCTGTTCGAACTTCCTTCTTTAAAAAATCTAAAAGAAAAACAACAATTCCTTTTTCATGTAAAATTGAACTCAAAATTCTGCGAAGAATTGATTTTAAGTCGGAGTGAATTTCCTCTAAACAAGATCGAGAAGCAAATCGGGAGTTTGATGGAGTAAAAGCAAGTTTGTCCACAACAATCTTGCATACTTCACACGACCCAAAAAATGGTAATTTTTTGCAAATTTGTTTCAAAACAAAATCTGTAGCCGTTGAAATTGTACTTTTTTCAGGAATTGGATCTGTTTTACAATAAGTTGCTTTCAGTTTCGACTTAGGTACATTTACAGCAGGTCGTGTTGAATTTGTCTGAGGTTCAACATCAATGGGACCAAAGTAATTTTGCCAGGAAAGAACAAAATTACTTCCATCATCGATGCAATTGGCTCCATCAGAACGACTTTTGCTCATATTATTTATTACTAATGTTTTAAATGAACCTATAAACTGATAGCAAGTCGGTTTTCTATTGGAATTTCCACAAGCTCTAATTCTCGAAAAAAAATTCTCGAGTGGATCTTGATTAAGGTGTTTAGTTTTTAAATTTTTAAAACCTAAACCTTTTAATTTCTCCCATAAATGAATGAATCCTCGAATTGTTGAGATTAAATTCCGAAGGGTTGGCGGTTGTCAAGTTACTGGGATTTTCGTCTTCTTATCAACAAATCGCATTCGAGTTAATATGGATATGGCTTCTTTAAAAAAAGGAATATGAAAACTGTCATCAGTCAATAATGTTCGGAATGGACTTTGTTCGTCGGTTTGTACTTTTCCATTAAATGCGTCTGCTAATTTATTAAAGAATGCACAGACCCATGCAGTATTCGCACCTTCGTCGGGGATTTTTCTAGGTCCCAAGGATGTATTTCTCTCTAGAAATTTCAATTTTAATTATAATTTATTTTTATAAATATATAATTAATAGAACAGAAAATAAGTTATTTTGAAGAAAAGTAGAACTGATTTTTAATGCATTAGAAGAAAAATATGATGAAGAAACCGATATTATTGAATCGAATATCTATTTAATTCTTCAATTTAAATGAGCTTATTAGATGGTAATACATTATTTAAATTTTTAAATAAATAAATACCCTTTTCCCCTGCTAAACTTTCCAATCTGCTTGCAACAGAGAGACTTAAGATCTGGATTGCGTTCTTCACTCGCATTTTCTTTATCTTATTAGGATATATATGTCTATCCATAAGTTTTGGCAAAAACCTTTGATTTTGCATTCCATACATGTCAATTTCGTACACATCTATGATATGTTCCCAAGAAGCAAATGTCCTCTCCGATGGTCTTTTTTTAGGATCAAAATTAAATTCGAGATCTTTGTCAATTAGATTATTCCTTGAGCATTTTATCATATGAGGTGGATCAAATAATGGAATTATTTCCATGTCATACAAAATGAAGCAGCCATCTATAAAAATAATGCATAAATATATTCTAGTTATTTTAAAACTTATATCAATTCACAAAACAATGAACTTACACCTCAAAATATATTCACTTCCTTTTAGTTTTTCAGTATCATGCAAAAAAGTATCAATTACTGATTGATTGCTGCTTCCTCCATCGCATATTGTTGCAACGACGTTGAAACCTGCTTCCTTCACAGCCCCTATAACTTCTTTAATGCAGAATGATAGTTGCCCTTTCGTTGTTTGTCCTTCGCAAAAATTGAAGGATATTGGAAGAATATCGCCGCTGTCGATAAATCGCAACATAAAAACGAGTCCATGGTCAGCGAATTTATTTGTGCGGGTGTTTCCCCAATCTTCAAACCCAACAATTTTATCTTTAGTTTCATCGTACTGCAAACCTAAACCTAACAGCAATTCATCCCACATTACAACCACAGCCTTTTCTTTTGCAGATACTGCCGCGTGTCCAGCTACTTTTAATCGAGCCCTAGTTTCTTCTGTTACTCCAGTATCCATCGATACTTTTCTTTAAAGTTGTAACAGATGGAAATGGTAGAAATGTCCTCAAATACCTGTAGGCCTTGGCTGAAGTTTTATAAATAGATAAGCATATTATTTGCTCTTCATTTGTAAATCGCCGGCCTGAAGGATCTCTGAGTCCATTTCTAAGAATCATTTCTATAAATGATTGCTGTACTCTCGTTAGTTTGTGGAGAATTCGCTGACATCTTCTCGTTTCTAAACAGTCTTCTGGCTTTTTCAACTTGCGTTTACATCTAATATAGAAGGAATATATGGGTTCTTGGAATGTAACGAAACTACTCTTAGAAATAAGTTATTTATTAATCGCATTACAATACATTCTACTATTACTACTCATAATTACTACTTTCTTGTATCAATATAACGATTTTTTAAATGAAATCTAATTTTAAATTAAAATTTCATTTATAATCTGTACAATCAAAAGTGTGCGTTTTTAATTATTTTTGATTATGTTATAAAGTTGATACCTTTGCAACCTTCTCTGTAAATTGTATAATTTAGCCTTTTTCGACTGCAAACGTTTAAATAACTCTCTCTCTCTGAGTGATGATGCAGAAGACAGTTCCTTCCAAGAGCGTCGACTATTTGGTCTAACGTAAACGTTTTATGATTCTAGCGAATTTGAGCGTTCTGTGGTTCCGTTTTTCGTAAAAATACTTTCATTTTCCTTATTTTGTTCTGCTTCACTTGATGTTTCCATTTGCTGAGTTTTGTCTTCCGCATTAAATAAATTTGGTATCCCAGGTTCGTTCAAAGGCTCAGAATGTTGCACAATTGAAGTGTCCATAGGTTCTTGGACAAAAGGTGTCGCATGAGAGTCGATAGCCTGTTAAGAGTAGAACGTTATACTAATTTACATACAAAATAACAAATGTATTACAATTTTATGTGCTTATAAAATTTTCGAAAAAAATGAAATTTTTTTATGAAACTTATATTTTTATAAAAGAAATTTTGCAAATTACAACTTACTGTGTTCAAATCAATTCGATTTTCCGAGGTTTCTTGCGCAGGTGATTCATTAATTACAGAAGTGGTTGCAGAAATATCTAGGACAATTGTTTCCAAAGATGATTTGTTCTGATGTAAATGAATATCACCTGACAAAAATTCTGATTGCGATGGCACTAAATTTTCTGTCGGAACTGCATCGTTTTTTAATCTTGAAGCACCATTTTGAGTTTTTATTAAATAAGCACTGGGTAAGAAATGATTAGGGCAAACAAATAATTCCTTGGAGGTAATCTCCTTATCAGTGAGGGTCTTTAAATTTGGACATCCGATTTTATCTAACCACTTCTTTCTAATGCTGTCTTTTCTAGGGATTTTGTGACAAAGTTGTTTTTTACCACACACTCTCTTACAATAACCACAACCGGGCACGACACAAATTCCTCCATGGATTTTACTTAAACTTTCTATTTGTAAATTCAAATTATTTTTTCGAAAGAATTAAAAATCAAAACGGTACTATAACCACACACGAATGACAGTTGGTTTCAAAACAAACTTTCGCGGCTGTCACATGTTCATTTCGACATCAGCGCTACCTACCAGGGTGGCGGAACTACTTCCCCTTCACTCCGTTCACCCCTGTCCTATACTTTAAAATTTGCCATATTTTTGAAGAAGGTTACCGAGCCTGGAAAACTGTATTTTTGGTTATATTTTTTTCGAGAGTGTTTTTTTTCGTCATGAATCTTGATTGTGTTTATTTTCGTAACACCCATCGATTTCTTCTTGGAAATTCAATTATTTTAAAAAATTGTAATAAAATCATTCGCAAGAATTTAATTATTTAAAAAAATGTTAACAGATATCTTTATAAAATTTAATTATTTTTAAAAACTTTTTGCAATTCAATTATTTATGAAGATTTTTTGTAAAAATCTTCGTAAGAATTCAATTATTTTTGTACAAATAATAAAATTCTTTCCAGTAATTCACTTAGTTTTGAAAATTTTAATAAAATTGTTAGCAATTATTCAATTATTTTCGCATAAATGATAAAGTTTATCGCAGGATTTCAATTATTTTTAATACTACAATTTTAATTCAATTATTCTGTTAGATTTTAATAAAATTCTTTCCAAGCATTCAATTATCTCGATAAACAAGAAAATTATTCCCCAAAATTCAATTATTTTCGCATATATATATATATAATAATATTCATCACAAGAATTTAATTATTTTTTAAAAATAATGCATTTCTACTTGGAAATTCAATTATTTAAAAAAATTCTAATAAAATCGTTTTGAAGAATTCAATTATTGTCAAAAATTTGAATATAATACTTTGTAATGTTTAATTATTTTTAAAAACTTTTCGAAATACAATTATTTTCAATATCTACTATTTTTATAAAATTTGCATAAAATTAGTCGAGAGAAATGAAAATTATATTATATATAATTATAAATAAAGTTACATTACCTTTTCAGTTTGTGAATTGAAATTTTAAATATTTGTTGTCGTTAGTGTTGTAGGGGGAGCAGGATTAATCCTCTGGAACTTGACACTCTCCAAACTTTATGCAGGACATTGCTTATATCGGTTGTAAACAAATCATTGTCCTTGCTTCCAATATGAATGTTGAGATACCTAGAATCCGGTTGATCATAGAGTTTATCGATAGAAGAAATTTTGTTTACAATTAATTTAATTTCATTATCGTTGCATTTTATAATGTTTAGAACTTTACAAAATGTTCCGCTTTTCAATAAAATACATCTTTCTTTATCCACATTGCAGTCAATAATGTACGAATCACACTCTAAAATCTTATATTGCTGCCAAACATGATTGCAAGTCTCTGTTATGGGTCCACTGTTATGTATTTGTTTTAAAATAAAGTGTTCCTTAATCGCCAATTTCTTTCCAGCAATCTCCTTTTCGTGATATCTGCGTGCAATCTGCTCCAGAGGTTTGTCTCCTTTCCGAATCATTCTTTTAATACTGGACATATGATTTTCAAACCTGAATGCACTGAATCGATCTAGTGGTCCGTATTTCTTGACATCCTGGCATATATGGAGCAAATTGTGAATATTGTCAGACACAAACTCTTTCCCATATATAGATTGAAAACCAGTGACAAAATTCTCCAACATTTCTTGGGCACAATCAATATTTCTCGATTCTGCAATGAGATTTGGACTGCATAATATTGTGACAGCACTATGTAGAAGTATGAAGTTCTCATACATTAATTCAGGTAGAATATTTTTTAGTACTATTGGCCCAGTGTACTTTAAGAATGTACGGAATTCAGTAGCTTTCCAATATCGGAATTCCAGCAAGGATCTTGGCTTCCTTCCGAATTCTTTTGGTATACTATGCCGTAAAGTCAATAGTTTTTTAGAAAGTGTATTTACCTTTTTAATGTGTAACCTAATTTTTAGAGGTCCCAATAGCCACATCTTAATCAATTTTTTCATAACACCTAACAATATAAGATGCATATAATCTAGTGGAACTCCAGAAATGCATCCAAATCCAGGAATTTGCTTAAGAATTGTCTCGTTTCCTTCATTAAAATCATATTTTCCTTTCAAAAATTGTTCGTCGGTTTTCATAGTAAAAGGTCCAATTCCAGGGAAAGCAACTCTTCCTTTTTTTACCTTTTTTTTACCTTTTTTTGGTTTTAGATATAATATATTTTCCGGTAATGACACATTTAGGACAGCTATTATAGCCTGTATGTCCTTTTAGGTACAGCAGGAAGGATTTAGCTGGTGCGTCACATATGAAAGCCCAACACGAAACTTTCACACTTTCATCTTTATTTTCAATTATTTGACATAACTCCTGAACGAATTCCTGCATAAACTCATTTGCATCGTTAGGTTTACTTGGACCAAAATAAGCTCCAATAGGGTACACTTCTCGGGCATTTATTTCTGAACACAAGATGAGCCATAAACCTTTCTTCGTGGATTTGAAAATTGGCAAACCATCGACATTAAAGATTAGTTTTATCTCTGTAACTTTTTTGCCATTTCTTTTATATTCTTTTTTAATGCCCTCAATAGCACGTTTGAGTCCAAAATAATAGTAATGACCATTGCTCATTTCAGAGATATTAACTATTCTCAACGTTTCCATTAGAGTTCGTGCATCTAGAGGCAAATGAAAATTTATAACTGGTTGCAAAAGGACGAGTAATGCAGTCAAAGCAATCAAAGCTATATTGAATTTTATAGCCCATTCTCGAAGTTTATTAACAAAAATTTCTCCAACAGTTTCACCTTCTTCAGAAAATTCATTAATATTATCTTCAGATTCACTAGTAGAATCTAGTGAATTTTGATCATTCCAAGTTTCGCAGGATTCATCGTCTGAGAATGAGTCATCCCTGCTCTCGTCACAGTCTAAGAACTGGTTATCCGAATACTCAGCGTTGCTTTCATGACCATCGGTAGAAGAATTCTCACTATAAAAAAGTATAGAAATAATAAATAAAGGTAATAAAATTAACGAAAATAATAAAAGAAGACTATAAGATATTGAATTGTATTAATATTAATTAATATCCAATAAAATTCATTAACCCTCCGTCTTAAGCTTATCTAGCTATACAAGTGTTTCTTACAATTTTCTTAAATACATTTCTTAATAATAAGTTTTGCACCTACAGAATGTCTTGAAATAAGGAGTACTCGCATTTGCCTGGACCACCCGTTCTTCTGCGCTTATTGCTTATAATATAAAATATGTAATATGTATATTCAATTTTTCTTTTTTATTTATTTTTAACCCAGTGTCGAAAATTTAATTTACCAAAATACTGCCGTGTGATATAAAAACTTAGTTAACTGACATTTTTGTGAAAAATGAGTTTTTGGTATCAATGAACTCGTAAGAAAAAACTGCGTCTAATAGTTATAGTTTAAATTTTTTTTGCAAATTATTGTTTGTAAAAAATTAATATTAAAAATCTAAGAAATTGCAGAAAATGAAAGAATATTTGATAAAAAGTTAAGAAAAGTACTTTGCGTAGTCCAAAAAACAAGCTCGAATGTAAGATTTGAAGGAAAAACTTAGTTAAAGGCATTTGTGTGTTTTTTGTATCAAATAAGTAGTCGAGTCCGAGCGTTGGATTTGAAATAAAAACTTTGCATCTGCAACGCTTGCAATTACCTAAGTTCTTCCATCAAAAAGCCAGTCGAGACAGAGCCGAACGACTACTTAACTGCATTCGGCTAAACTCGGTTTGTCCTCGGGTCGCAAGCAGCCGTCCCCTTACCACATGACGTCACTGTCAGTTAGGTAAGTTTTTACATCAAATCAGAGGACCGAGATCGCGTACCTTTTTGTTGAGCACTACGCAAAGGACTTTACCTAACTTTCGCTAATTGAAATTATGTTTGCGTTGAACTCCGTTAAATTTTTTTTTAAATAAATGCATTTTTTTGGAAAATATTATTAAAATATTAGATATGTTGAAAGTCATTCTACGAGGAAATTTTTTGAAAGTTATTGAATTTTTCTAAGAATTTTATTAAAATTTTTCAATACATGTGAGAAATATAATTGGTTTATATTGATTGATTTGAATATGATCTGGTAATTGTCAATGATACTAGAATTATTAGTACTTTAAGGTTGGCAGCAGTGCTGCGTATGTTACGGTTGCTTGAGCGACGTTGTGAAACAGTTGTTGAGATACGTGAGAGAGACGTAGAAGAGTTGATGTGAGAAGTCGATCGAGAAGAGTATTTGTGTGTTGCCTAAGTGCGTTAGAATTCGAATTAATTATTTAAAACAATTATTTGTACTTTGCCATTCTAATATAATTTTACTTAATAAAGAATATTAAACTTGTCTAAATCGAAATAGTGAATCTCTGTTTCTTTTGTAAACCACTCTTATTTCAAAGGAAATAAGAACAATTTAATAATTCAGAAGTGGGATACAGGAATACTCGCTCCATAGTTGATTGTGAAGTGTCGTGAGTCGATGAAAATTGTAGAAAAAGTTAATTGTAGTGACAATAGTGCGAATTGAAAAAAAAAAACGAGATGGCTGACGTGCATGTCGAGACACGTTTAAGTAGTGCCGAGGGAAAGTGTATAGAAGCAAGTTAAAAAGACTTGAAAAATGAATAAATAGTGATAAAGAAAAAGAATTTTTTTTCTTCTCCCTTTTCCTTTAATTGTGAAATATGGAAGAGGAAAAGGCAGCTGCGGCTGCATTGTTGCAAATTGGATTTCACAGTAACCAGCAAGCAGGTCCTCAAAATGTAAATGTGACAAATAATTCGCAGAATAATCAAAGGACGCCACCTGTTAATAACGATATGAACCAAATGATGTACATGATGAATCAAATGATACAACAGAATGCAACTTTAGTAGCAGCTATTCAAAGACAAACTGCAGCGCCACAACCGCCACAACCGATGTTTAGTGTACTTCCCGACCTGTCACACAACATTGCAGAGTTTGATGGTTTGTCCGGTCCTGCTAATGCGAATGTTTGGATAAAGCAATTAGAGACGACGGCAAATCTTCATCGTTGGACTTATGCTATCGCTTTTGAGACTGCAAGAAGTCATTTAACCCGAGCTGCCAAAAATTGGTATTTGGCAAATATTGATTCTATTAATGATTGGACGTCATTTCGAAATGCATTTAAACAGACGTTTATGGTTGACAAGTCTTTGACTCAAAAATGGACAGAAATGCAAAATCGCGTTCAACTGGCTGGTGAAAACACAAAAGAATATTTTTTTGATAAGGTGAGATTGTGTAAAGCATTAAATATGGAGTTAGATGAAATAAAAACACAAGTCGCAGTTGGATTGTGGTCAAAAGAAATAAGCACGGCGATATTGACAAAAACACACTTTGATATTGACGATATCTTAAGAAGCATAAGTGAGTTGGAAACACTGGAAGCATCGAGAAAATCACGAATCAGTCAAGCTCGTGATTCATTAAAATTTTCAAGGAACCATTGGACAGCAAAGGAAGAGGACCGACGATTTAATTCAGCCCGAAGTAGCAGTGATCATCCGATGACATCAAATGATACAAACACTGGTAATGTAAATAAGGAGCGTGAGTGTTATAAATGTCATAAGGTAGGTCATTTTGCTAAAAATTGTCCAGAAAGAAAAGAAATAATTTGCTTTAATTGTGAAGGTTCAGGGCACATTTTAAAGAATTGTAAAAAGCCGAAAAAATCTCTTTCGAAAGCTGAAGTTAATGAAATAAAAACAGATAATAAAAATAATGATTGTAACGCTAAATATGAAAAGAAAATTTTTGTTGGCGGGAAAGAGATTTTAGCGGTTGTCGACCAAGGAAGTTCTGATTGTCTCATCAAGGCATCTGCGGTTTTAACGAATAATTTTAATTTTACTTCAGCTGTTAGTACACTAATCGGATTTGGGGGTTTCGAAACTAAATCAAATGGTGTTATTAATGAGAATTTAAAAGTGGATGACTGTTGTGTAGATAATATTCGTTTTCGAGTTGTACCCGACGATGCACAACAATATGACGTCCTTATAGGTCGAAATTTTACTGAACTTCCACAAGTTGCTTATTTTAAAGTAGGAGATCGATTAGAATTCTTGTACAAAAATGAATTTTGTTTTCAGAAATACCCGATAATAGAAAACCAAACAACCAGTGGCCAAAATGTTGAAGTTTCCGAGTCTGTGTGCATTTCTCCTGGATCAGTTAATTTTATTCGCGTAAAAGTTGACGATAACGATGTAATGTTACCAATAAAAAATCGCAGTAAAGTTCAAGCAGATTTAAAAAAGGGACAAAAGTTAGAAAATTTAATATTATCAATCGAGGGAGAGGCTCCAATTCTAGAACCGCGTAGAGAACCTGTAACCGAGGCCGATATTTTAACTCATAATTCAATTACTTGTGATCAAAAATTGGAATTATTTTCATTACTTAATGAATATCGTAGATGTATTGCAATGAACATGTCCGAATTAGGGTGTACTCATTTAATAGAAATGGATATACAAGAGAAACCTGGAAGTATTCCACCTTATTCGAAGCCATTTAAAGCGAGTGCTGAACAAAGAGAAATAATGAGTACTAAAGTTGGTGAGTGGAAAGCACTTAAAATAGCGAAAGAAACAAATGGTAAATACGCGAGTCCGTGTATATTAGTCAAGAATGCTGATGGTACCTACAGATTGGTAATAGATTATCGTCGTCTTAATAAAAATACCATTAGAATGAACTTTCCACTCCCCAATATTGATGACGGCTTAGAAGAATTATTTGGAGCAGTTATTTTCATAGTTTTAGATTTGAAGCAAGGGTATTTACAAATTCCACTCACGGAAACAGCCAAAGAAAAAACGGCATTCATTACTCCAGATGAAACGGGCCAATTCGAGAGGGCAATGTTTGGATTAATGAACGCGCCGTTTTACTTTGCTAAGCTAATGAAAATGATTTTTGGTCCATTCGGGCATAAGCTAGCTTTGACATACTTCGATGATATCTTAATTCATGCGCGTTCGTGGGAGGAACTTTTGGAAAAATTAGAAAAAGTTTTGATTTTATTGAAAGATGCGGGTTTAACTTTGAATCTGAAAAAGTGTAAATT